GGCAAAGCAATGTATTCATGCGTCGCTTCCTAATGTGGGGAACAGGGCACCGAGTTAAAAAGAACCACTACATTTACACGCACGCGTTAGATTAGCACATTTAAACCCTTTGATCACCCTTATAAACCCTTTGATTGCCCCATCACGCAGACAGTGCCATTAGTACAGTGTCAGTATATAGAATTTTTCACTGATCACTGTATTCCTGACACTAGCGACATCAGATAACATCAGGGTCAGTTTAGCGCCCCTCCCAGCCAGGGTCAGCTAGCGTTAGATTGCCTGCACACTATTGCACTCACAACTATAGGTGGCTGATCACTGCCATTTACTACTATTTTAGTGTTTGTACGGATCAAAATATTGATCATGAACAGAACTATACTAGTGCCTCCTTAGTATACGTGTCCACAAAAACGCAGAGTTAGCAGGATCGGCCCCGGTCTCTGCCAGCACTAGCGTTTAGCCCCTCCGACGTTTTTTCACAGAAGATTTGTATCAATTGGTTGTGGCCAAGGCAATTCGCATGGAGACCTATCACAGTTTTCTGAATTTAACAAAACTCTTTTGGGCCTAACCCTCAACATGGGCATTACAGAAAAGAATAAATTGAGGTGATATTAGTCCACAGTCCCGATTCCTCATATGCCCTTGTTTTCTGCTGTTACATATATGCCCGACATGGACCAGCAATGAACTTGTACGTCGCTGGACTTTGAGTGGTTATACCCAGGATGATTCCTGCAGCTACAGGCATCATCCTGGCATCATTTTTTTCAGCTGATGGTCAGCTTTCATGTAAAAACAATCCTAGTGGCCAATTAGCTGCTGAGATTGTTTTTATGAGCAGCGGGAAGAGACATCACCCCCCCCCCCCTCCTGCTGCCTTCCACAGTTTTCTTGGTTTCCTGTCCAACGGGGGAATCCGAGAATGCAGCCGAAGTTCCACTGGCTGACCATAGAGCTGGTCAGAGACCAGAAATGGCTCCAATCATCTCTATAGTCTAAGAAATCAGAAGCTACAAGCATTTCATCACTTCAGTTTCGCAGGATATAAAATGCGCCATTTGTAAATTGGGAAAGCATATGATCACACTGATCTTGGTGAGATTAAATAATGTAAGGGCAGAGGAGATATCTAGAGTCTGATAGACCCCAGATTTCTCAAAAAAGAATATATGACAATGCCCATTGAAGTTGAGGGGATAGTTGCATTCCCTGTGATCAAAAGTGATAAAAAAAAAATTAAAGGGACAGTGTAAACATTATTTAAAAAATCAAAATAACTGTGCAAGCTTACGCAAGCGTTGACCCCCGTGTCGGTATGTAAACAGTGTTTGAACCATGTATGTGAGGTATCGCCATGAATGTCAGATCGAGCGTCAGTAATTCTAGCACTAGACCTCCTGTGTAAATATATAAATTGGTGACCTGTAAAGGCTCTTAAAACATCCCCTATTGATAATAAAAATGTATGTACTTTGTTGCCATTGCACGGGCATGCGTAATTTTAAAGCATGTAATGTTTGGTATCTATTTACTCCGTGTAACATCATCTTTTATGGTTTATCAAACAATTGGGAAATATATTGTAAATAAAAGAAATGCAGCGCTCTTATGAAAAATAATGATAAACACAGTCCGGTGAAAACAGTGCTCCTTGATTCCCAGTGCAAATGGTAGAAATTCACACTAACCAGAAAGCGCATGGGTTATACGCATGTGTATATATATATCCTGAAGATCCCCCTCTCCTCTCAGGTCTGGTCAGGGAAATAACTGGGAAGGATGGAGATCCTACGCCCTCATGTGGTGAGAAAGTGGTCCAACAGGTCAGAGCAGTATCAATCTGGATAGGCCTCCAAAGGAGCTGACACAGGACTCACTAGGCTGCAAGGATGGAAGAAGCTCCTCACAGGAGACATAGGGAAGCACTCATAGTGTAGTAGGTAAAATTTTTATTCCAGACAACACAGGTGCATAATGAGTATATCACATAGCCAAGTATGAGCAAACACACTGACCGTTTGAAAATCAAGATGGCCGCCGGGCCTCCTCGTGGCACCGACGGCTTAGTGTCAACGGCGTCCTGGGCTCCACCTATATATTGTGTTTTTGTGCATTAAAATTCTAAAAAGTGTATTTTTCCCCAAAAGATTTGAGTTTGAAAAAATCGCTGCGCAAATACTGTGTGACATAAAACATTTCAACACCCATCATTTTATTCTCTAGGGCCTCTGTTTTAAAAAATATATAATGTTTGGGGTTTAAAGTAATTTTCTAGCAAAAAAAACAGTTTTTTTTCATGTGAACAAAAAGTAACAGAAAAGGCTTGGTCTTCAAGAGTGAGTGATGTGTGCATAAGCTTCTAATTAGAGATGAGCGAAGTATTCAAAAATTCGATTCGGCTGATTCGGCGAATTCGAGGAATAAATTTGATTCGATGCGAATATATTCTCTGCGAATTTAAAACTTATAAAAAGGGTTTCTAGGCTTCAGAGAGCCTTTATATTAGTGCAGAAACACTGTACCTTTAATTTAAATGCCCTTGGAGTCTGCTGGGAAGAGAAATAATACTGTCAGTCAGTATGACATGCAGATGAGTGCCGTCGATCTTAGAATCACCGCACACTTCACTCATTTGGGGCAGTCACGGGGCCAAAACCAGAGTGTGGAGCCACAGTGTGGAGGTGGAGGCAGCAGCAATGGGAGGCCATACAGCACCCTATGACAAAAATGGAACCCACCAGCAGTGTGAGGAGACCTGGAAGTGGCACATGGCAGAGTGTGGCGATGGAGACAGCAGCAATGGGAGGCCGTACAGGACCCATGAGACACTCTGGACCTGGCAAGCAGCATGAGGAGGCGGTACGGGGGCCCATGGCAGATTACGGGCCTGGCAGCAGCAATGGGAGGCCCGTAATCTGCCAGCACCATATGACAAAATGGAACCCACCAGCAGTGTGAGGAGACCTGAAAGTGGCACATGGCAGAGTGTGGCGATGGAGACAGCAGCAATGGAGGCCGTACAGGGACCCATGACACACTCTGGACCTGGCAGCAGCATGAGGAGGCGGTACGGGGGCCCATGGCAGATTACGGGCCTGGCAGCAGCAAGGGAGGCCCGTAATCTGCCAGCACCCTATGACAAAATGGAACCCACCAGCAGTGTGAGGAGACTGAAAGTGGCACATGGCAGAGTGTGGCGATGGAGACAGCAGCAATGGGAGGCCGTACAGGGACCCATGAGACACTCTGGACCTGGCAGCAGCATGAGGAGGCGGTACGGGGGCCCATGGCAGATTACGGGCCTGGCAGCAGCAATGGGAGGCCCGTAATCTGCCAGCACCCTATGACAAAATGGAACCCACCAGCAGTGTGAGGAGACCTGAAAGTGGCACATGGCAGAGTGTGGCGATGGAGACAGCAGCGATGGGAGGCCGTACAGGGACCCATGAGACACTCTGGACCTGGCAGCAGCATGAGGAGGCGGTACAGGGCCCATGGCAGATTTACAGGCCTGGCAGCAGCAATGGGAGGCCCGTAATCTGCCAGCACCCTATGACAAAATGGAACACACCAGCATTGTGACGGAGACCTGAAAGTGGCACATGGCAGAGTGTGGCGATGGAGACAGCAGCAATGGGAGGCCGTACAGGGACCCATGAGACACTCTGGACCTGGCAGCAGCATGAGGAGGCAGGCAGAACCGCCGTATCTTTATCACGGTTTTCCCAGGCCACCAAATGGCGACGCTGCATAGCTGACGCAACGCTGTAGTCCCAACATGGGCCCCCTGGCCACGCTTGACTTTCTGGCCACATAGTCGACATACGGCTACGTTTACTTCCTACGGGCGGCTTGACAAAAAATTGCCACACCGCCGAGTAGGAAACTTTTGCCCCCGCTTACTCCTAACCACTTGGCCCTGCCTCCACTGACACTGCTGCGACCCCTGCTGCCTCCTGGGCAACCCACCGACTGTTTTGCTCGCTGCCAAGCTGCACCCTCTTCTCCTGATGATGCGGAAGCAATAGCCTGATGACGACGAGGCTGCCAAGTGCGATCAGCCTCACATACATCAATTAGGGTCTCCGCCTCACTACTAGCCCCCTCGGCTGCGGTGGGTCAGGAGACAGACCTGTCTCTAGACCGGCTACCGAGCCACTCTCCTCGCCACTACTTCTTCGCCTGGCTGCTGAAGAGGCGGATGTCTCCCCCCGTTCCTGACCGCCCTCTGTTAGCTCTTCCTCACTGTACAGTGGGGCTGAGCCCACAGCATGCGATACTTCGCTTGGTGAGGAAGCACCAAAGGACAGGGGCAGGTAGAGGACACGTGATTTCAGTGGGCTTGCTCCCGGGCCATGCCAACTAACGGTTGTGTCTGACGTACCCACCGACCGTTGGCTGTAGGTGTCAGAGGTGACCTGGGAAGAGGAAGACGACCGAGCCAACCAATCGATGACGGCAGGGTTGTCGGTGGAGACAGGACCGCTGGATGACACCGGGAGCACTGGCCTCTGGCTGCGACTAGTGCTGCCTCGACCCCCTTCCTCTGCTGCCACGTCTGCTCGCTCCTAAAACATTGCCTCCTCTGCCACTCCTCTGCATGTTGTCTGACATACTCTTTAATTCAACGATTCTGTGTCCCTGAGTAACAATTCTGTGTCCCACATAACAATTCTGTGTCTGTCCCTGAGTAACAATTCTGTGTCCCCCTGAGTAACAATTCTGTGTCCTGAGTAACAATTCTGTGTCCCTCAGTAACTGTGTCCCTGCTCAGTAACAATTCTGTGTCCCTCAGTAACAATTCTGTGTCCCTCAGTAACAATTCTGTGTCCCTCAGTAACAATTCTGTGTCTGTCCCTGAGTAAACAATTCTGTGTCCAATTCTGTGTCCTCAGTAACAATTCTGTGTACCCTAGCAGTAACGAGATTCTGTCCCTGAGTAACAATTCTGTGTCCCTGAGTAACAATTCTGTGTCCCTCATAACAATTCTGTGTCCCTCAGTAAACAATTCTGTGTCCCTCAGTAACAATCTCTGTGTCTGTCCCTGAGTAACAATTCTGTGTCCCTGAGTAACAATTCTGTGTCCCTCAGTAACAATTCTGTGTCCCTCAGTAACAATTCTGTGTCCCTCAGTAACAATTCTGTGTCCCTGAGTAACAATTCTGTGTCCCTCAGTAACAATTCTGTGTCCCTCAGTAACAATTCTGTGTCTGTCCCTCAGTAACAATTCTGTGTCTGTAACAATTCGTCCCCCTGAGTAACAATTCTGTGTCCCTCAGTAACAATTCTGTGTACCTGAGTAACTATTCTGTGTCCCTGAGTAACAATTCTGTGTGTAACAATTCTGTGTCCCTGAGTAACAATTCTGTGTCCCTCAGTAACAATTCTGTCCCTGTCCCTCAGTAACAATTCTGTGTCCCTCAGTAACAATTCTGTGTCTGTCCCTGAGTAACAATTCTGTGTCCTGAGTAACAATTCTGTGTCCCTCCAGTAACAATTCTGTGTCCCTCAGTAACAATTCTGTGTCTGTCCCTGAGTAACAATTCTGTGTCCCTCAGTAACAATTTGTCTGAGCCTGTGTCTCTGAGTAACAATTCTGTGTCCCTGTCCCTGAGTCCTCAGTAACAGTAATTCTGTGTCCCTCAGTAACAATTCTGTGTCCCTCAGTAACAATTCTGTGTCCCCTCAGTAACAATTCTGTGTCTGTCCCTGAGTAACAATTCTGTGTCTGTCCCTGAGTAACAATTCTGTGTCCCTAAAGTAACAATTCTGTGTCCCTCAGTAACAATTCTGTGTCCCTCAGTAACAATTCTGTGTCTGTCCCCTGAGTAAACAATCTGTGTCTGTCCCTGAGTAACAATTCTGTGTCCCTAAGTAACGGTTCTGTGTCCCTAAGTAACGGTTCTGTGTCCCTAAGTAACGATTGTGTGTGTCCCTAAGTAACAGTTCTGTGTCCCTAAGTAACGGTTCTGTGTCCCTAAGTAACGATTCTGTGTCCCTAAGTAACGGTTCTGTGTCCCTAAGTAACGGTTCTGTGTCCCTAAGTAACGATTCTGTGTCCCTAATACAGAGAGATCTGTCTCTCTTGAATGACCAGAGGCAAATGGAGAATTGTAAGATGGCCGCAATTTAGAGCTCCACCATTACACAGTGCTGGCTGGTTGCTGATTGGCTAATGCGATCACATGTCATGAATGAATGCATTATGGGTCAGCGCGCCTTGTCTGCGCGCCTTCCCAGAGATCCCTGCTCCGTCACCGCACATGTCGCCGCCATTTTTGGAAAAATTTTGATTCGCGCATCCGAAGTCTGCTAATTTTCGGATTCGGCGCAAATCGAAATTTTTCTAATATTCAAAACGAATTCCACTTCGCCGAGGTCGATTCGCTCATCTCTACTGGATATCTATACTAAATAACAAAATATATATGCAGCGCTCTGTAAATAATATAATGATAGTAATCGTAAACAAAAAGTCCATCACTAAAGTCCTTTTGCAATCACCATGTGAGTTGAATTATTCAAATAAAACCACCACATGACTGTAAATAAATGTTTAAAAAGTGCTGTGCTCCCCCTTCAGGTGTGCACTCACCAACTTTATTTGCCTCCCACTCTCATGGTTGGCAAAAAACGCTTTGATATAAACATATAATATTCCAGACAAGGATGTTCACTCATATACATCGATTTTTCCTCAGAATGGTTCCAACACTCCAGACTTATAGCCTCTGATAATGATTCTCCATATCATATAAAAGAAAGGAAATAGAGACCCGACATGGTGCAGTACCATTTAAAACCATTTAATCTCTGCTTAAGGAAACTCACTTACAAAAACATAATGCAAGATAAGCCCAATGATATACAGTGGGGATCGAAAGTTTGGGCACCCCAGCTAAATAAAGAAGCCAAGGAAAGATGGAAAAATCTCCAAAAGGCATCAAATTACAGATGAGACATTCTTATAATATGTCAACAAAAGTTAGATTTTATTTCCATCATTTACACTTTCAAAATAACAAGAAAAAAAAAAAATGGCGTCTGCAAAAGTTTGGGCACCCTGCAGAGTTAATATCTTGTACTGCCCCCTTTGGCAAGTATCACAGCTTGTAAACGCTTTTTGTAGCCAGTCAAGAGTCTTTCAATTCTTGTTTGAGGTATCTTTGCCCATTCTTCCTTACAAAAGTCTTCCAGTTCTTTGAGATTTCTGGGCTGTCTGTCACGCACTGCTCTTTTAAGGTCTATCCATAGATTTTCAATTATGTTGAGGTCAGGAGATTGTGAAGGCCATGGCAAAACCTTCAGTTTACGCCTCTTGATGTAATCCCCCGTGGATTTCGAGGTGTGTTTAGGATCATTATCTATTTGTAGAAGCCGTCCTCTCTTTAACTTCAGCTTTTTCACAGATGGCATCAAGTTACCATCCAAAATTAGCTGAAATTTTATTGAATCCATTTTTCCTTCTACTCGTGAGATGTTCCCTGTGCCACTGGCTGCAACACAACCCCAAAGCATGATTGATCCAACCCCATGCTTAACAGTTGGACAGAGGTTCTTTTCATTAAATTCTGTGCCCCTTCTTCTCCAAACGTACCTTTGCTCATTCCGGCCAAAAAGTTCAATTTTAACCTCATCGGTCCACAGAACTTGTTTCCAAAATGCATCAGGCTTGTCTATATGTTCATTTGCAAAGTTCAAATGATGATTTTTGTGGTGAGGACATAGAAGAGGTTTTCTTCTGATGACTCTTCCATGAAGACCATATTTGTACAAGTATCTCTTTATAGTGGAATAGTGTACCACAACTCCAGTGTCTGCCAGATCTTTCTGGAGGGATCGTGCAGTCAAACGTGGGTTTTGAATTGTTTTTCTCACAATCCTGCGAGCTGTTCTGTCTGATATTTTTCTTGGTCTTCCAGATCTTGCTTTAACTTCCACTGTTCCTGATGACTGCAATTTCTTAATTACATTCCGAACAGAGGATATTGACATCTGAAAACTCTTTGCTATCTTCTTATAGCCTTCTCCAGCCTTGTGAGCGTCAGCTATTTTCAGTTTCAGTTTTCTAGACAACTGCTTAGAAGAACCCATGGTGCTGATTGTTGGGGCAAGGTCAGATGAGTCTGGGCATTTAAAACCTTTGAGATTGACATAACCTGGTCTTCCCAGACGATGATTGAGAACAATCCATGACACTGGCAGGTCTCAGCTTGGCAAAGGGGGCAGTGCATGCTATAAATTCTGCAGGGTGCCCAAACTTTTGCAGATGCCATTTTTTTGTTTTCTGTTATTTTGAAAGTGTAAATGATGGAAATAAAATCTAACTTTTGTTGACATATTATAAGAATGTCTCATCTGTAATTTGATGTATTTTTGGAGATTTTTCCATCTTTCCTTGGCTTCTTTATGCACATTAATACAAATTTTTAGCTGAGGTGCCCAAACTTTCGATCCCCACTGTATATATCTGCTCTTGTGAAGGTAATGTCAGAGAGGGAACACTGCACAACGCTCTCACCACTGCTGGCTCTCGCTCTCGGACAGTCCCGCGTCATTTTCGGTTCGAAAGACGTCACTTCCGGTTCTCACTCAGCCAATCAAATGGTACTGCACCATGTCAGGTCTCTATTTCCTTTCTTTTATATGATATGGA